ATCGGTTTCGGAGGGCTCTTTTCTCGAACGGTCGGTGCGATACCTGTTCTTTTCTTTCGATCATTTTGTTTTCTTGTTCCGAGTGGTTTGTGCCCTTTTTTTGTTTTGTTTCCCCCCGGCGTCGTATGTGCCGGGTTTTGAGACCAGGGGGTCCCCATTTTTTGTGGACTACAGAGCTAATGTGAGAAACAACAACAACAACNTTCCCTCCCTGCTGTATGCTATGCTCCTTTATGTATGTCCTTTGTATTGCCTTCGGTCTCTGTGCTGTGTTCCTTTTTTTCATTACCTCCCTGCCTACTCTGCTGTGTTGGGTACCTTGATCTCGCTTTGCTGTTGCTGTTGCTTTTGTTTTTTGTATGCCTGGCTGTCTGCCCATCTGCCCCCTCTTTGTCCTGTTTGCTCCGTGACTCCCATGCCCTGATGCGTAGTGCCTGGTGCTGGTACGTTACCCTTTGATTTTTTCTTCGGGCGGGTGTGAGAAGCGTCCTCCTTTAGTTTTGTTTTTGTCTTATATTGATCGGTTTCGGAGGGCTCTTTTCTCGAACGGTCGGTGCGATACCTGTTCTTTTCTTTCGATCATTTTGTTTTCTTGTTCCGAGTGGTTTGTGCCCTTTTTTTGTTTTGTTTCCCCGCGGCGTCGTATTGCCGGGTTTTGAGACCACGGGCTCCCCATTTTTTGTGGACTATAGAGCTAATGTGAGAAACAACAACAACAACAACCTTAGTGCTGTTTTGAAACTAACAACATATTCGCCTGATTGAGAGCGTAGCATCTGATTGAGAGCGAGATTGCGCGATACNTGCGCCATGTTCCCTGTGAAAGCCACATTCCACATAAAGTTAAGAATGTATCCGCCTAAATATACAGATGCTTTTGTTCTTAGCTCCAATTGGCATTACTGATAACTCAGTGCTATACTTACACAAACTCAAAACAAGCCAAGTCTCCAGTTGGTTTCAATCCACTGATAAGACTTCACCACATCCCTTTCGACTGAGGTTACATGTCGAACGGGTAGTCTTTCTCTTGTGAGGTTATGTTTGTAAGAAAAAGGAATCTATCATTCCATCCCGTCCCTTGAGCTTCCAGAGCAGTTTCGCAAAGTCCCACCGCTCTGTTGAAGCAAAATAACAAACAACAAATAATGGACCACGGTCATCATGCTAATGCTATTTGATCTGCGGAAGCAGCAGAGAATAAACAACAAGCTGTCCTGGATTGACTATTGAACACCCCCCGTCTCCTGCTTCTCTCTCTCGCGCTCTCGCTCGCTCTCTCTCTCTCTCTCTCTCTCTCTCTCNTGTTGCTTTTGTTTTTTGTATGCCTGGCTGTCTGCCCATCTGCCCCCTCTTTGTCCTGTTTGCTCCGTGACTCCCATGCCCTGATGCGTAGTGCCTGGTGCTGGTACGTTACCCTTTGATTTTTTCTTCGGGCGGGTGTGAGAAGCGTCCTCCTTTAGTTTTGTTTTTGTCTTATATTGATCGGTTTCGGAGGGCTCTTTTCTCGAACGGTCGGTGCGATACCTGTTCTTTTCTTTCGATCATTTTGTTTTCTTGTTCCGAGTGGTTTGTGCCCTTTTTTTGTTTTGTTTCCCCCCGGCGTCGTATGTGCCGGGTTTTGAGACCAGGGGGTCCCCATTTTTTGTGGACTACAGAGCTAATGTGAGAAACAACAACAACAACTGCGCCATGTTCCCTGTGAAAGCCACATTCCACATAAAGTTAAGAATGTATCCGCCTAAATATACAGATGCTTTTGTTCTTAGCTCCAATTGGCATTACTGATAACTCAGTGCTATACTTACACAAACTCAAAACAAGCCAAGTCTCCAGTTGGTTTCAATCCACTGATAAGACTTCACCACATCCCTTTCGACTGAGGTTACATGTCGAACGGGTAGTCTTTCTCTTGTGAGGTTATGTTTGTAAGAAAAAGGAATCTATCATTCCATCCCGTCCCTTGAGCTTCCAGAGCAGTTTCGCAAAGTCCCACCGCTCTGTTGAAGCAAAATAACAAACAACAAATAATGGACCACGGTCATCATGCTAATGCTATTTGATCTGCGGAAGCAGCAGAGAATAAACAACAAGCTGTCCTGGATTGACTATTGAACACCCCCCGTCTCCTGCTTCTCTCTCTCGCGCTCTCGCTCGCTCTCTCTCTCTCTCTCTCTCTCTCTCTCTCTCTCTCTCTCTCTCTCGATGAGCTGGCGGTTGGTTGTTTCTCGAAAAGTTGTAGTTTCNCTGTCTCTGTCTTTCTGTCTGTCTCTCTGTCTGTCTCTCTGTTTCTCTCTCTCTCTTACCTGGCATCGCCCGGCCCAGCTCCCACCAGCCAATCCCCGCCCCCCCCGCGCAGCTCGTCCCCCGTCCGCCCATCAGCAGCCTCGTCGTCCATGCTTGAATCATCGTCGAACCCATTGCTTGCAACTGCCGCCGCCGTAGCCTTACCACCACCACCGCCGCCGTAGGTCCTGGACCACACCCTCGAACTCTGCTGCCGCTCTTGCTGCGCGTGCGGGATGCCCGCGCCGAGAGGTGGCAACGCTGACGAGGTCGCCGCCGCCGCCGCCCTGCTCCCAAAGCCTAGAGGCGAGATGCCCGTCGTCGGAGAGGTTGCAGCGCTCGCGCTAGTCCCACCGCCGCCGCCGCCGCCGTGGCCGCTAGCTCTGCGCCGCAGCGAGCTGCCTCCCGCGCTCCTGGTTCTCCTGCGGTTGCCTACTGTCCCCCCCGCTGACTCGCTGCCTCGCTCTGCTGCTGCTGCCCTGCACCCGTTGTTGCCGCGCAGCCAGTTGATGGAACCTTCCATTGTTTCTCCTACCCAGTGCAACGGCGAGGAGGCCGTTGCTGCCCTCGTCGGGCAAGAGCTGCCGCCGCTGGCGTTTATGGAGGATGGGACACGGCTGCTGCTGCCGTTGGTGTGAGGATGAGCTTGTTGCCCATTGGCAGCAGAAGACAGGCTTCCATCATTACCATTTGCACGACCACCAGCAGCACCAGTAGCAGCAGCAGCAGCAGCAGCAGCATCGCTGTCCGTATCACGCCCTTCTGCTTCTGCTGCGGGTTGCGTCGGACCGCCGTCAACAAGAGACAAGCTTTTCTGAAAAAGGGCACCGAGCAAGATTCCAAGCACGAGCACCAGCAGGTGCAACGCGGCACCCGCGCCCAAGAGCTTCCAGACGAATGCTGACACCACCAGCACAACGGACGCCGCCACGACGGGGACGCCGTTGTGTCTCGTCTTCTTCCGCTCGTCTCTGCTGCTGTCGGGGTTGGTGCCTCCGGCTTCGATCGCAGAATGCATTCCTCGTTTTTTTCTCTGTTCAAATTATGTGTAAGAATTTGTTCGATTCCCATAGCCGAGGGCAAGAGTTGCCTGGTACCCGGCCGCGAATTGCTCGCTCAGAACATGTAGGACTCGGGACACCCGTGTCCTGGCGTGTCCTGGCGTAGTAACCAATGGACTGCTGTTGCCGTAAAACTCGAATTGACAAAACAGTTATCACGCACGCTTGTGGGGTGGGTTCGTTTTTTTTGCACCGCCTCAAGGGGTAGGCATGTTGTCACCAACTTTGTCTGTTGTGCCCCTCAGACGAAGGGCTGCATTTGGAAGGGAACTAGTCTGAATGTTGAAATAAATTAAGGAGAAATAAATACATGCACAGAAAGACTACCCATTCGAGATATACCCACAGTCGAACGGAATGTGGTGGAGTCTTTCAGTAAGTGGAGATGTTTTGAAAATGTTTGATTCGATCGACGAGCAACAACAGATACAGGAACAAAAATCAACAGAACACAGCAAGCAGCATTAATGAAGATGGTGTCTGGCGCACATTTCCCCTCTCTGCCATGCAATCGCCGTCCTCTCCCTTCTCTTCGTTGTCAGTGCTGTGTGTGTGATATGTTTGATTCCTGAATAGTTTCCAATTTTTGAATCACGGCGCGGTTTTGAATCACGAAAATTAGAGCAAAACCGCGCCGACGGTGTTGGCCGCGTTTTTTTCGAGAGGCCAAAACCAGCACTGCAGGTCACACAACAGTTGTAGAACAGTAGTGAAGTTGATAACTTGGTACGCGTTCTAGGTCTAGGTTGTGAGTTCGAAATTAGTTCCCGAGTGGAAAAAAACTCGCAACTTTGTTTTCAAGTGAAAAGCGCCTGCAGCAGCTACTGATGTAGGCTAAGATCTTGTGATGAAGTACGAAAAAAGCTAACCACCGAGGGAAGGGACTGACTGCTGAACCCCTCTCTCGCAGTAAAAGTGAAGACACCAACCACAGGAGGAAAGAAAGTTGGTCTTCCTCCTACTTTTTCGTGTGTCAAATATTTGTTTTTTTCTCCCCATCATTGGACTCTGTCGTTGTTGCTGCTGTTGTTGTTGTTGTTTCTCACATTGATTGGCTCAATAGTCCACAAAACATGGGGAGTCCGCAGTCTCAAAACCCGGCACATACGACGCCGGGGGGAAACAAAACAAAAATAGAGTACAAACCACTCGGAAAAAGAAAACAAAATGATAGAAAGAAAAGAACAGCTACCGCACCGACCGTTCGAGAAAAGAGCCCTCGGACACCGATCAAAACAAAACAAAAACAAAATTAAAGGAGGATGCCCCCCACACCCGCCTATAGTGGTCTAGTGGTATCTTCGTAATCCGCTAGTCGCAGAGGTCGTGAGTTCGAAACCCCATGGGGTGAAGAATGTACGAAATATGCGGGTGAAAGCGAAATATCGCTAAAAAGCTCTCGTGAGTACCAAACTTCGACGTTGGCACCGTTGAGGGAAAGGGACGGCTGATGTTGTTGCACAAGTGCTGCCTCGGCCGCTCTACTGGCTTCTACAGCAGTGCTCGGTCGCCGTTTCTTCCCCCCCACCGCCGCTTCCCCGGCTCTCGTCCTTCGGTCCTGAGATGGCCGTACTCTCTGCTTCTGCTTCCCTCGCGCGCTGGCGCTTCGCGGACGCTCCCGCCTCCTGCCTGTGCCATTTCCTCATGAGCCATGCCGCCCCGTCCTCGACCTTGTTGTACCACACCTCCGGGTCCTTGGCGCTCTCTTTCCATTTACCCCCTTCCTTTTCGTCTCCCATGTTGAAGGCCACGAGGTCCTCTCCTAGACGAGACACCCAGTCGCTCTCCTGCCCGCCCCGGTATCCCCCGCCCCCCGCCATCGCTCCTAACAGCATGCGCTTGGGGAGGCGGTTGTCCTCCATGCGCAAAACAAAGCCCGCGAAACACAGTCTCCGTTTGCGCACGGTGGCCTCGATGGTTTCTGTCGTGTACCGAACGGAATATATATATGTAGACCGGCGCCCAGACTAGTATGTGTAGATGGGACGTGAAAAAAAAACAAGAAAACCAACAATAACATACTACTACCGACCGGTGGCGCTGCGCCTCTGTCTGCCTTCAACGCCAAACATGAACAGCAGTCTAACGTACCCATGTGTACGCGTCTCAAGAACCGATGTTCTATTTTTTACAGTTGTCTACAACATGCACGACGTGCTTAATGTATTCCAGAGCCGGGATGTCATCTTGTTCACTCGGCCACTATGCGCGCCAGGCGCTATTTGGAGCAATCACACATCGACACGTGTGCCGATTCGAGGAGGAGAGCAGAATTTTTTCTCTGTCCCGTGAATCGGACAATGACAATACCAACACGCCGGTGTCCAGGGGTCTCACAGACAAGAAAAAATGTGAGCATGGTAGACATTACGGCGCAAAGGATCCGCTCGAGGGCTGTGGGAACGGGGTATGTAACCGCATTAGGTCACCAAGTCAGGCAAGCGGTGTTTCCTATTTATTGATTGTTCTGCGCCGGCTGAACTGGCGCAAAAAAAAAAAATCCTCCATCACACGCTCCCAATCAAAAAGAGCGTTATCAGTGCACTATCAAACACAAACAAGACAGGTTTTGTTTGTGTCTCTCTTCTCGAGCTGTTATACCGAGTCAAACGTCTACCAAGCTACCAAAATAGAGGTGCCATTCAGGCCGCCTGTCCGTACCCCGTGTCTCTTCTACGTTGCTTCTGAGCTATACTAGCAGTATTCTTCAGAGAACATCAGAGCACATCGTGTCGGGAACTGGGAATCGTTGACGACGGCACAGGTTGTGGACGACGCAGTTGGTGGCAAGAAAACGTCTCGACATTCCCAGAGCTTGGCCGGAAATACGTGAGGGTATGTAGCACGTTCAGGTTGGCGTCACCTCGTGATGACCGATGTATGTACACTACACACACACGTTCGCTTCTTGCCTGAGCTTACACTCTACCATAGAGTCAACACAACAACAAACAGCAAAGAAATGCAGGAAAATCGATCTTCGGCGCCTCACAAACGACGCCCCTGTCACAAGAGGCCCAAGAGGGGCAGCCTCTGATATATCACAAAGCAGACCGCGGCGAAGAATAAAAAGGTGGAGGCCACCATGATAATGGTGTCCATCACCTCGGCAGCCTTCAGCCTCGTCAACGTTGTGCCGGCTCGCTTCAAGCTTCCTCCGATGCCCTGTGCGAGCGCACGGCAACGAGACGTGGAAAAAGGAACCGCAGCAAAGGCGAGGGTTACGTCCAGCACAGTGAGGAAGCGAGGGTTCGAGCAGGAATAACCGCATTTTCACACACAATCACCCCCTGCCCCCCGAACCTACACAAGTTTCGCGCTTAATTCGCAGTCGCAGCCTGGGACCGAGGAGGGGGCCTCCCACAATCCTGGCGGAGGAAGTTGGATTGTTGATGCCGGTGGGTCGTCGATGCAGGTGAGTGCAATGGACTTCATGTGGTAGACGATGACACCACACCATCACCAGAACTGCAACCACCAACAACACTAGCAATCATTCCTCCGGCAAGCCTCAACAAGAAAAACAGAGCAGTATATCTCCCTGCAACTGTGTCTTGGTCTGAACACGGGAAACTCGCCTGGTGCTCGGCGAACGTGTTCATGAGCAAAGCATCCTGTTCGCCCATGACCTCCGACACTTGGGCCACCCGGGCCAGCTGCTCCGCCATCATCTTTCGGGTGCGCTGCAAGGACTGCTTCATTTCTCGCGCGTCTCCCGCAGCTGATCCCGGGGCATCGTCGCTACCTCCCCCGGAATTGTAGCCCCGTCGTCTCCTGTTGTACAGTACACAGTAGTAGTTCACCACAGCAGTGGCGAGAGTAAAGAATAAAAAACGAGCCCTTAGTTGGGGATGCACTGGCCTTCGCTGGAAGCTGTCTGTTGGAAAGCGGAGCGTTCCAGTGTTTCAGAAAGTGGTGCATTGACTGCAGGATGCAACAGCAACCAGAATGGTAAGTGCTCTATCGTACACAGCGAAGGCCGTCATCTAATGGACCGTCACCTAGATGTCGTTGATGTTAGTGGTGGTGGTCTTCTTGTTGTCAATTCGTTGTCTGTACAACAAAAACAACCATTCCGACCCTCTGCCTAGTTCATTCAGTCGCGTAACATATGACGTGAAATTGTTCAAAACAGCCAGAGATTGTTAAAAACATTCTCACGGTCCGTCGCCGCACTCCGCTCCCAGTAGCGCGGCGCGATTGGTGGCATCGTAGCGTCTCTCCTCGTGGCGCTTGCGAAGTGTGACTGCTCGTCTGAGCTCCATCCTTACGTGCTCCAGGTCTCTCTCCGCTTGGACCACCTACGACCAGAGAAAATACCGTGTCCCCCGTGTAAGGTAGGGAATGGGAACCCCCAAACGCCTACATGTATCACGTTTCAAGCTGCTTCCGATGACAACAATGATCTTCATCAATGTATGGCTCATGCCATCCTAGCCTACACTAGACAGCGAGCGAGCGTCGTCACGACCTGTGCCTGTGTGTCTGAACCCCGTAGTCTACCACTTTGTCCTGCACACTTTAATGGGTGATGCTTCCCCGCCTGACATGAGCCCACAGCTACGTTACAACGGGTTGGTTTTTCTTGCGCTCTGGTATAGCAAGCAACCGCACTAATGAACCTCAAGTTACACAAGGGCTCGTTTCTTCGTTTCTCCAAGAGGTACGCCAACAGCGAGTGTAAAGGTTTCAAAAGTAGGAATATTTTCTGAGTACATGTCCTGTATGACAACAAGTTCTTGGATTTATCTATTGATGAGCCTAAATCTATTAACTCTCAGGGGCGCCAACTGCTGTAAGGTGCCCCTGATGGATCTGCGTCGGTCGCCCTCGAACCTTTGCGAGAGAGTCCGAACCGCCGTCGGTTCCGCCGCCGCCGCCGCCACCACCGGCCTCGTGCTGTTCCCCCTCGTACCTCGCCTCGGTTAGCGCGTCGCGACAAGCAGCAACGGTACGAATGCTTGCGTTGTTGAAGGCCTTTTTCGACACAGAACAACCAGCGGTAGCAGCGGGCGTAAAAGCATCGAGAGGGATGAGAAAAAGCCTCGCGTTCGAGGCGAAACCACCAGGGTAACAGTGAAAAATACGAAATACTCCGTGTATTGTCTGTTGACTTGAGTGTGGTTTTGACTGAGGAGCAAAGGAGCTCGCGTAGCATACGGGTTACATCGCGAAGACTACGGAGCCCAGAATCTATGGACGTCAGTAGTCCTGCTCACTTTCGTGTCTGTCGCCGGAGGTTGGTGTGTACAGCAGCACGCTTAGTTCCGTACCTCAATTTGATGCCTGGTCCACGCATCGTCTTCGCCTTCTCTTGTTCCAGCCGCCACTTCAATCTTTCTTATGCTTAGTCTGAGCTCTCGGAGGAGATCATAGACACGCACAAGGGAAGGAGTTTGAGCTGCCATACTGCTGGCGGTGCCAGGTATTCAGTGCTAGTCAGTGACTTCGTGCCCTTGCTGTGCCCGTGTGAAACGCGGGGGAATTATCCGCGCGCCGTTGTTCCAAAGCCCCGCATATGCGTTCTTGTAACGCCCGCATGTGGCGGACGATTTTTTTTTTCGTACGGTAACAGATGTGTTCACTGTAGGAAGAAGGAACGTGTAGGAACGGCCGCCTTGTCTGGCAACGCATAATACCCAGCATCCGTAGTACTGAGGCGTGCTGGCAAAAGAGGTGCGATTGAAGTGATGTGAGATCCGAGATAACGCAGTCGTGTCGAGCCCCAGTGACATGTTGCTTATCCAAGAAAAGGGCGTGGACGAACCAACCGGGGGACGGAACGCGGCGGGAATTTCACGGGGACGTGTTTGTGCGCATCTATCGACGTGCCGTGGATGGGCGAAGCTTGTTATATCGCAAGATTGGTTCGATTCCTTCGTCGTAGGGATCATCCTGGTGAACTGCGTGTTCCTCGGTCTCGATGACCCGACGGCGGAGGTAAGAGGCCTGAGGAACTACTGTAGGAGACACCGCAGCAGATCGGCAGATCTGGATTGGTACAATGGAGCGGAGTAATTACTGCTGTACCTGCGTGGGTGGACTATTGGACTATACTGTACATGTACACAGCAGTAGTAGTCTACAGCGGTAGACTCCGTGTACATGAACTCTTACAAGCGAAGAGTACAACTTCTACAAAAGGTTGACGCCATACGATTGATGACAATGTACTCAGAGTTGTGATTGCCATTTCATCGCCGGTGGCGGGCCACTCCATAGCGTTCGGCAGAATTGCAGGTAAATCATCGCCGGTGAGCGCATTTACTTCATCATCCCGCATCTTGTTGCAGCAGTTGGTTCGCGATGTCGCTTTCCTCGCAATACCAAAAGTTTTGATCCCCAAGTTTCCTTCGTCTTCCGGACAGGTCAAACGGGAAGAAACGGATGATCGATCACGATAATGTCTAGACTAGTCTAGACTACACAAAACGCGTAGTCTAGTCTACATGGCCCGCCCCGTAGGAACGGACGAGTTTCGTCCGAGCTAACCTGCTCTTGGGTGTTTTTTTGCGTCCTCTCAGACACCACCTTGGTGGCAGCTGGTTGCCGACACAGTGTTTACGGCCTTGTTCACGTTGGAGATGTCCCTCAAACTGGCGGCATTGGGCCTCCAGTACTTCATGGATGCGTGGAATTGGCTTGACGCTATCGTCGTGGCAGAGGTGGGGTATGTACCCTAGTCTATGTACTGTAGTCTTGACATGAAAACGTGAGGTTAACATTTTGAACAACCCTTCTGTTCGACACATGTTTACTGGACGCCGAGAGGGACAAAGTTTCCACAACATCTGCAATATCAATATCGCCACACAACAGTGGCGCTGAACGTCGATACGATAATGCCATTTATCCCAAAGGCGAAGCCCTTGCATTGGTTGGGCCTAACGAGGCATTCACATGGTCGAAATGCCTAATCTGCGAGCTCATCCAGACCGTCCATTTATTTATGAATGTTTGCAGTTCATGTGATTGCGTTGGTGACAATGTGTTGTGACGCTGACAAGAGGACATGAACCTCTCTCTCACGAAGGTACAGATCATCCCAAGATGCTCCGTCTTGCAATATGCCTCAAAAAGGTTTCGACATCAAGCCCTGCAAAACACACAGCAATCTTCCTGAGGCATTTTCGAAGCAATGTAGATCGCATTGACTAACTGTCATTAATTTCCATGTGAGCAGGGTATATTCTCTGTTTTCTTTGATGGCGGACCCAGCATGAAGAGCCTCCGAGTGCTACGAGTGCTTCGGCCCCTGCGAACGGTCAGGCGAATGCCTCGAGTGCAGGTGAGCGCGAGTTGTTTTTCGAAGGTCCTAACACCTATTTTCCTTTCGGTTTCTGACAACATTTTTTCCTCCTTCCCAAGGTACCCCCTTATATTGGTGTGCCATTCCGTCTCGAAACATGTAATAGATGAAGCGTAGTCATTCCTCGCGATATCGCGTTTACTATTTCCATCCAAATATCTAAGTAAACCTCACTAAAGGCAGTACGTTATCGACCCCTCCCCCGTTCAGATTACACTGACGCTGCACATACCTTTCTGGATAACGCGTCATTCGATCTAAGACTACTGTTAGGTTCTCTCCCTCACCTCCCCATCCCTCCTCCGTTCTTCGCTCGTTTGATGAACATATTCAACCAGCTGGTGGTCACAAGCCTGCTCAGGGCAGGTTGGACCCTTGGTCGTATCGTCTGCATATTCATGGTGTGGCTTTCCATATTTGCAATCATGGGCGTGCTGCTGTGGTCAGGTGGGCATTGGTTGTGCTGTGGTGCTTCATTGTTTGTCGGCTGCTCAACAAGGACGTGGTACACGTGGCTTTTAGTTCAGCGCTTACATGGCCACCCCCAGTGTTTCGCACTCGCCACAAGTTGGGACACTTTTTTTTGTCTACTTTGTATCTGGAGTGACACGACAATGTGACCTACCTGCTTGTTGACTACTGTCCCGAGTTTCGATTAATACTGCAGACCCTCTCTTTGATTATTTCTCAAATGTTTCCCTCTCTTCGAATGTGGATGGGAAAATTAATGACCCGGCGGCAAAGGGGCACTGGAAAACCGGTGTTCGTCTTCGGGAGTGATGTCCTCGGACACTGGTGGGGTCTGCGGAGTGCCCGTGGACCATGCGGACGACATCTCGTTGTTCTGCTCGTCACTCGAGCTGCTAGACACACCGTACACCTGCGAAGAGGTGACCAATTTGTCGTCGTGGCCGTTAGGGTAGCGGCCATTGAGTTCTTCTGGTTGGGTGATGGCCGAGATTGATCTCCCGGTGCACACTTCACCCCCAAAGTAGGCGGCAAGACGCTCTTGCGGATCTCGTTAAGACGCTGATCGCATCATCGAGCTATACGTCTGATCTCATTTGGGCAATTGTGTATTGTCACGCATACACATATATCCACGTTGTTCAGGTGTGCATAAACATCATGGTAGCAACAAGGGGCGTGCGTTGACCGGCCCTTTCTTCGCATTCTCCTACTATTTACCGTGTGACTTGGAATCACCACGTTCATACTCGGCAAACTTGCACTCCCCCGTGTCCGTTCCGATTCGGCAGTTGAATTTGAGCAGCTGTCGGCAGCAGCTCAGCCCACATACGATCATCGCGGAGGGTGAAATAGTTGAATTGTACCGAATTCCACCTACCAGCTCGCAGAACCCGACAACAAATATATCTTCTTCGATGCCATGGCTAACCCCCTCCTTTTCAAAGTGAATGCCTGGCTTCCTCGGCCTGTCCCTTGCTGTCCTATTAAAGTCTTCTCTCAAAATAGTGTGCCTGGCCTCCCCTATTGCTTTTCTATCCTACTAACGTCTTCTCTCAAAATAGTGTGCCTGGCATCCTCTCTGTTGATTTTGTGCCCTGCGAACGCCTTGTCCTGTTCGCCTGGGCTTAACTCGACCGCGGTACAGGGGGAAACATGCGAAGACTACGGTAGCAGCCCTTACTCGGGCATGGTGAACTTCGACAATCTCTTGTGGTCTTTACTTACCCTCTTCACTGTCACCACTCTGGAGGGGTGGCATGAGGTGCGTACCGGGTACTCGCATTTCGTGAGTGGAACGTATGTCGACTCAGTGTTGTTGCTTACCTCAGTCATATGATCATTCTCCAACCCATCAAAGCAGGGTACCGATCCTGATGCCAAAGGAGACATTTTTATCGTTTGGGCGCTCTTTGCGTATAACTGTTTGCTCACGAAATGAGTTTCAGCCTTTCGCCTTTGGGGTCGCCCCTGCTCGCCCCTGTCGGTTCTCTACCCTGTTGATCGTTTCTCGCGGCTGCTACGTGTGTGTGCCACACCGAGAAATGTCACGTCCATTTATCTACTTCATAGCACCTCTTCCACTTTGTGCATTCGACAACATTCGGAGGGGGTACAGAAGGACACTAAGCGGGAATGCGTAGATATACACTTACCTCATGAGGGCATGGACGCTGTGCTTAAAGAAGTTGAGGGGGGCTAAAAGGGTGAGAAGTTAAGCTCACAACCATGGTTTGGGGCTGGGAAGGCTATTGCAAGCCAGTAGAGTATATTGGAGGAAGAATGTGATGCAGGGCCCATATGCGCGATACTTTTCAGCAAGAGATATTGATATTCGGTCGTTTTTCCACCTCCCTCCCGTCCCAACGTCTACCTCCGCTGAATGTTACTAATGTTGCAAAACACACACGAAACAACCAAAGGTGATGATGTTCACGCAGCGGGTCATGTCGGAGTACACCATCTGGTTCTTCGTGTTTCTTATTGTCACCGCGACGTGGGCAATCATGAGTCTCATGATTGCTGCGATGCTGGCGAGGTTCAAGGCGGTTAGCTTGGCTGAGGGCCTCCGCCTGATGCGGGAAAGAGCCGAGGTGAAGTTGAGGCCATCAGAGACTAGCTTGCAGCCTTGTTGCGTCCTATCCAGGATATGCCGTACACGCGTACCGTTTGTCTGGCACGTGGCCAGACAGCGTAGGCTTCTTCAAGCGTCGAGCTTGTCGGTACTTGGATTTCCCCGCCCACACATGCGCACGTCACCCAGGACATGTTTCATCAGCAGCGCTGTCAACGCTAACAATAGCGCTTGTGGGCCCGCGTGTGTTTGTGCCTGTTTCCCAGGCTAGGGCTGCAAGGCAGGTGGAGGCACGCGGCAGGGCGAAGAAAGGGAAAAGAATGCTAGGCTCCGCCGCCGAGGGGGTGAAGGGGGTTGTAACGAAGGGTGGTGCGGAGATTGGAGGCGCTATCGCAAGGGGTGGGGGGGTGATTGCCAGAGGTGGTGTGGACATTTTGGCAGCGGGACCGAATCTCGCGGCCGGTCTTATCACCTCGCACGCTGAGGTGAGCACCCGTATCAAGACCAAGGAACACGCACCTTGTCTCGCGCCGTCTTGCCTGGCTACCTTACACGGGTGGTGATCCCAACAACGGGTGGCTGACAGGTCATGCAGCAACAGCGGGTCAGGGGTAGCGTACATGCTGACAGATGTAAAATTGTGTTGGCGAGGTATCTTGGAGATCGTTTGGGTAACGTTATTCCCTACTTGGTGGACCTTCCTCATTAGAGGGGAGAACGAGGAACGCAGCCAAGAGAGGTATAGGACACTCATCTTATCGAGAGTCGGAAAGTTTCTCGAGAGCGGGAGGCGGCAAAGGGCCAACTTGTTCGTCGCTTGCTGTCTCTTTCAGCCCCGGAACATTTTCTCTAGCCTCGCATCTGCACCCAAAAGAAGTACCCTTTGTTGGCACAAATTGTTCTGGTTTCGCAAACGATTCATGGGCCGCAACAGAGGGACTTCGGGGGAGGAATACTGAAAATTTGAAGACGTGACAAAAATATCCTTTCTTGCAACCACCGAACAACCCTCGTGTCCATATCACCAATGAAACTCCACCAGAGCAAGCCGGAGGGCAAAACCGCAAGGTTAGTCCGACAGTCGACGGGACTGTGGCAAGTCATCGTCTGGTATGCCAGGCATCCGATGGTAGAAGATCAAGTTCTCAGCGAAGATTCGCTTTTCTCGCAGGTACTGTCATCTGCTGAATTGATAGGCTTGAGGAGCAGCACAGACATCGCATTTGCTCGAGCTTTCTTCGTATAGTTCGGTGCTATTGAATGTTTAGGAGGTATACCACTCAGGCACCCGGTAAAAGGTTCACCATTTGCCTGGCTGAGACAGGACCTTATAACACTCTCTAGCACTGAAGCCTAGCGGGAAATAATCCCCAGGACCGCCAACGTAGGGTCGCCGTCTTTCTTCAGACGGTAGGGAGGATGCTTTTTCCGCTAGGATTTTACATGCGAGTGTGTATTCTCCTTTCACGCACAAGTTTTGTGCACTTTCTTTGTTTTCTGATCACCTCCTTAACATGAAACGGTCATTCTTAAGGTGGATGGTCTAGACGCTTGATTACACCTGAAGCGCGCAAGCAATGGCGAGATCAAAGATAGGGGTCTTGGCATGTCTTTACCAGTGGTAGAATCAGATATCTCGAACAAAATCCGTTGTCAGTTGCAAGCTTGCTCAGTTGGATGTCTGTAACATTGTCGTGTGTGGCTCTCCACGGGGTAGCATACAAGAAACACCGCCAACAATTCATATGTACTAATTTCCCACACACTCTCGAAGCCAGCTATTATACCAGCGTTGTTTGAACCTTCCACCAATGCCAATATTTCCATTCATTCCATTGTTGTCGTGTGACTTGTATCACGAGTGAAAGTCAATTCAATGAAGGTGCAGATTACTGCCAATATGTTTTGCCACGTACCCCACTCGTATTGCCCTTTACTGTAGTTCTGCACGGTGATCCTGACTAGATTCAAGAGCGTGATTGCCAACTTCCCTCCCTCATGTAGCCCATACGCATGGATTGGCAACCCCCGCGGTGCTACCACGTGGGCGACATCGACAGGCAATCCATTGGGCAATACTTCTGAACGTGGTCGTTATTGGGATGGGCGGTCACAACATCGGTGACAAGAAGGCCGCCGTGCTCCACGACATGGAGACTGCGCTTACGATAATCTTTACGGTCGAGGTCGTGTTGAAGAACGTAGTCCTGGGAGCTAGGAGGTACTTCAAGTCCAGGCGAGTTGGGGAGGAAGTCCATTGTTCCCATTCGGATGGGTGTGGCTTGTCGAGGCGTCTCTGATTGAATAGGAGGGCGATTGGCAGAGGTCGATGAAATCAAGAATGGGGTGCATAACGTGACGACTGCGGATGAAATGACGTGGGCGGAATTCAACGTGGAAAAGTCACGGCCTTACCATCGCTGCTGACGGTATAGCAGGTACTCGAAGTCACACACACTGAACTCTGGTGCCCTGGAATATAATGTTGGATCCTTCGAGTGCAGTTTCATGCCCTTGCTCGCTATTTCTGTCCTCCGTGAATGTCGTGTGTCATCCCCTAGCCCTTCATCTCGTACCTACCCTTCAAATAAGACTCGAAAGCAGTGACTCTTGATTTGCCCATTTCCGCGCTCCCGAATTGCAGGTGGAATCGGTTCGACTTCTTTGTTTCCATGTCGTCCCTTCTTCATCTCATCATGACGACGCTGGTGGACGACCTGGTGATAAAATCGGCGAATCTCATACCGATGTTGTGTTCCGGTTTTCATCTCATACCGATGTTGTGTTCCGGTTTTCTTCTTATCCTCCGGAATAACTATCAAGACGCCCAGCCAGGATACACGATGAAAGCAAACGTCATATCGCCCCCATGAGTTCCTCTTGGCGCATCGTTTCCACGAAATAAACTCTCCGGTGGTGTTAGGCTATATATTTGATGGTAAGTTGTGTTACCCTGAAGACCTGCGGCTATTCGCATCGGTGGGCAAAGGCCGACGATGTTGCAGCTTTTCCTCGGTGGACGCCGCAACAGCCGGGGCGACACATTGTGCTGAGCGGTGACCGCACCAACGCACGAACCGCGCTTCCGCGATCACACCGACGTCAGAAGTCAACGGGAATCGCCTGACTAGGGTTTCATCCCACGGGGTTTGACAACCGTGACACAAAATAGCGTATCGAGCATAACACACAGAGGCCTTACCGCCCCGACTTGAAATTGGTGCTATTCGCCCTACCCTAGCATACAACGGTTGTTGAGTATCCTGAGACTACACAAGGTGTCTGATTCCGGCGTATGTGCGTGAGCCTCCAAAGCGATGCCGAATTGATATTTCCGACCTCAAATGGTAATTCCGGGACTTCAATCAACTAAGCCAACGCTAACCAGGATCACAAAGAAGGAGGGGTGGGAACCACGCGAGAAATCTTTCCATTGACGTATGTATTGACGCTTGTCGGTGTCCTCTCCCGGCGATCTACCTGGTACCTCAATAAGTTCACTTCACCCATGCCGACTACAATGAATTGCGTCCTGCCCGGCCCCCGTCTTGTTTCTCTCTTCAAGGGCGTGACCGCATCGTTGCGCCTGCTGAACGTGCTGAGGGTGTTCCGGATCCTGCGCATGCGTCGCCTTAAACGCACCGTGAGTGGCTGGAGGTTGACATGCATGCTCTTCATTTTGCGATCAACACTCACATTGTCGGACGCTCTCTTGGTCCAGCTCTCACGTTGGTGAAACGTTCGATTACGTTTTCCCCAAACAATCATCGAAACTAGCAATTGTAAGCCCGGGATGCCCTGTTCTGCGAGATCTGAAAATAAACTCCATCCCTCCAATCTAACGACTGCAGGTGGTCACAGTCGTCGGTGTCGTGATCAAGTCGGCCCGCGACCTGTGGCCGGTGGTGGCTCTGATGCTCCTCATGTGCTTCGTTTTCACGGTGCTGGGGATGCAGCTGTTTGGGGCCACTCTCGATCCCGGCCTAGAGGAGTTCGCGGCCCACTCGTATGCACACAAGACTCGATTCGACACCTTCTTCTGGTCGTTTGTGCAGGTAAGAGGGCAGCATATGCAGCTACGCTATGCCACTGCCGTACTTGAGAGGGAGACGTTTATATCCACGCACGAGGTCGAGAGTCCATCGGTCTGCTGAACGTATGTGTTCGTTGAAGAAGACTTTGATCAGGACCAGCGCCGTGATTGGCTCCAACGCCGGCTCTGTGTTGGCACTGGTGTGATCTGCCTTCACTGTGCGTGCCTACGATGTTTGGGCTTCGATACTGTCTAGCTGCCGGTAACATCACGGAACGCAAGAGACAACCCCAGTCGTGGAAACGGTGATCTCTACTCCTTTCCAATAGGGATATTGCCTAAGAGTTCAACAACGCTGGCTGATAAAGACGGCTTGTTGATTCGGTATCTTGTGCAATCGTGAAAAAAAGGGTTTCACCATGGAGTTTCGGTCTTTCCCAGGGACACCGTAACATAGGTGAAAGTTGCTTCAACATATGCACAACAGCCTGCAAAACCTGACGAGACTCGATGATAGACTAGAAAACACGCGTCGATTTTTTGGTCCTGCCTTTCACATCCTTGTATAACAGCGAATTGTGGAGAAGGGTGCCTTATGGGCTGTACTTGGAGAAAAAAGAGTTGGCACAGAGTTGAAAATGCCCGCCCCGCTTGTTGGTCAAACAAAGGTTTTCACTGTGATCGCTGGCGATGGCTGGAACACTATCATGTACCGGACCATGGAGAACACCACCGCCGTCTCTGCCTTGTTCTTCGTCGCCCTGGTTGTGCTGGGAGAGGTGGGTGGTGCGCCGACTAACCACCGTGTTATCTGTTTTCGCCGTGCGTATGCCTTGACCAACACACTTGAAACAATCAATAGTATTCAACTTCAGGGATCTATAATAAGTGTTTCTCTTTGCTTGCTACAGTTGAATATTCTGTAGGCCTAGGGGCGCACCCTGAACCCTGTAATACAGTATGCTGTGGATCGAAATTACTCATGAACGAAAACTGACCCCCCCTCTCGGTGTTTGCCATCGGGGTTGGGTTTTCGTCGCTTGGCAACGACGTTGTAAAACAAGCCG